GAAATCATTATTTCTCCAAATTATTTTAGGCATTATGGCAAGCATTGGATTTCTCTGTGGAACTGCTCAGCAGCCAAACCACAGAAACTTGCTTTAAATTCCAATGAAGCCTGTTTGCAGGGCTGAATCAGGTCTCAAATTGGACCCAGATATAATCAGCATAATTAAAAGTTGAATTCATAAGAAAGCAGCAGAACATAACTTCATAAGTTCAACATAAAAGCTGGTGAAACCAAGATGAAACAATAAGAAGTCTGTTCTCAATATTGCAGCCTTGTTTCTGCAGTTCTTTTCCTGCTGGTTTACATCATCCAGCTCCTGGGAAATCAGGTGCTACCTGTGAACTGAAGATCATTAACACTCTGAAAACAAACACATGGTTTTCTGTAGATTCTTGTTAGCTCTTCCTTAATGAGAATACATTTTGAGCTAACCTGAGAAAGACAGGAGCTTAAATGTGTCCTTTTAGTTTAAAAGAGACAAATGTTTAGTTCGTAGCAGATCATAAAGACAGCAGCATTAACACAGAAAAGAAGAGCAACAACAATGAAATTCAGCTCCTGTAACTTTGGACATCTGTGGTAGGAGACATCTGTATCTAAGCTAATAACCTCCCCAAGCTCCTTTTATCAGAAATAGAGAGGAAATAGGTACTTTTGGTAAGCTAAACAATTAGCCCAGATGTCAATGCTTACAGTGTAAATGATTACATTTATTCAGGTGAATCCCACTCTGAACTACTATAACATGTAACCTTTAAATTATGATGTCAGGCCCTTAAGTCTGAGTTGATTTTTGTGGCTTCAAATCAGCAGTGTACTTAAGCAATGTCCTAATTTTAAGCATATAAATAGTCTTATTGAAGTCAATGGGATATTCACACATTAAAAGCATACTTTGGCTGGCACTTTGCTGAATCAAGGCCTATGCAAGCACTGTACCACATGTGTTTTTTCTTGCAGTAACTGTTACATCACTTTCCCTTTAGGTAGTAATTTCACTGTACAGTGGAATTAATGTTTTCAGAAAGGTCTTTTAAAGTTTTAAGATTTTGGCATTTTTAAAGCAGATGCTAATAAATTGGTAAGGCTTGTATTCTTTTCTATACTTCATAATAACACTAAAATCTAATAAAATATAATCCAGTGTTTTTGCTACTACATTAATTGAACACTTAAGCTGCTTCCATTTCTTAGTAAGGGTTCAAAATATAATTAGAAAATAAGCTAATTTTTTTCATGTTTCATGTAAAAATGATGAGCCCAAATAGTAACCCGAGTTACCAAAATGGTAAAGATCTTTTCAATCATTTACCAGGTGGACAGATCAACATATCCATCACCCATCTGTCATTTCTAATCCTTAAAAGCATAGATGGCCCTAGTGAGTTCTCACTGTATCTAAATTTTTCAATGGCTTTGTAACTGTACTTTTTATACAATTTATAGAATCTCATTGCAGAAAGCCTAAAACTGAAGCATATCTTAAACTGCATATTTTTTATGTGGATCAACCTCCTGGTTCAGTTGAAAGAAGAGGGTTCATTTATAGTGAATAGAAACTTGAAGGCAGAAATTGCAAAGAAGAAATCCTGTCACTAAGGTGTTTGATGCTCTGTCTTGATCTCAGTGGACATCCAAACAGAACACAATATTCTGGGTTTAGCTGCATACCTGGCCCCTTGGATCAACATGGAGGAGCATTGCCAGGAACAGGTCTTTGCTGCCCCACTGTTGCAAGGGAGGTGTAAGCTGTTCAGCTGAATGCAAATTAAATTCAAGACTTAGATTTCTGACAAATTCCCAACATGGTCTTTGGTAGGAAAAAAGTTTGGCCTCTTCTCCAGCAGGTAAGAAACACTGTTTTGCTTGCCGTGAACTTGACAGACATATCAGTCAGCTACTCAGTATAGAGATCTTCCCAAACAGGCCTCACTGTAAAGTATTTTTATACCAAGATATCCTGTAGCAGTCTTTATAAAAATAAATGAACTAGTGACATTAAGCTGAAAGGTAAGCAAAGGTGCTGAGTGTTAGACATATTAAGGGGGGGGGAATCTGTTAATCGTTTTATTAATGTTTTCTTTTCTGCAGAAATCTTTGTAAATGCTTGTAATTCTTTGCAGCTGACAGGCTGCTGATTTTGCAGAAAGAAGAGCTTTTGAGTCCCCTAACTCCAAGTCACAGTTGTTCCTTGTTTTGGCTGTTGGAGAATTAGTTCAATAACCTCCCAAATAGTAAGTGCCTATGCTCTCACAATTTAAGCGTAAGGTCTGCATCTTAGAAAAATTATAGTCAAACAAATACTACATTGAAAGCTTAATGAGTTGCACCGAAGCTGTGTAAGGGATTGCCAAAATCATTTTGCTGCCTTATGGATTTTTACAATGCTGTTACTTCATTTGTTGCAACAGATTTAGTCCCTGTTTGAATGATTCCTCTCTTTCACACACACTAAGTGTCACTCAGGCACTCCCAGGCTTGTGGGAAATGGCAGCCAGAGGTAAGGATTTGGGTCTATGACCTCCTCTATCCTTTCACCACACCCACAGTAAAGCACATGAGGCCCAGTCCCCAGCTGTCCCCTTGGTCTAGCACTAATGCTGTCTGGAGGATTGGCATAGTGGCACCTTTTTGAGGAACCTCCCACTTTGAAGCATGCCTCAAATGCATGTCTCCAAGCAGTCTGGATATTCCCCACTTTGGGTATGCACCTACCAGCCACAGGCTTTTGGTGCCCAAGTCCACCAACATGTTGGTCCACCAAGACGTGTTGCAGAAGAGCAGCTTGCTCAGCTAAGCCAGGCTATTCCCTTGCCTTCACCCACTGTTCAAAATACATGGGGCACCAGGTTATCCCAGCCAACCCTGCTGCCCACACTAAAACATGACACCTGCCAAGAGGAAGACAAGCTCTTTTCAGGGAAGAGATGTGTTTCAGACCACAAGAGTAAACAGGAGCACGTTCTCTCTGCAATAATGAAGAGAAAGTTTTCTAGGCCCACCAGTCCTACCAAATCCCTGATGGTTTTTTGGCTTTCTAAAGAGTGTGTTGAAGCACCTGATGCTGTAGTCAGCCATGGAGGTCAGGCTTGACAGCTGACTCAGGTCTGATTAGCAGTTGTCTTCATATGGTCTGCAAGTAAGAAGAGCCATTCACCATTTTGCATGGTCATACGGTCCTCCACCACTGAGTCTTCTTCCTTTGCTCTGCTGCTTTTATCGTCTCCCTTTCTTTCAATTTCCAAGGCAGTGAAAGGTGTATTGACATCTCAAAAGCAAGAGAATTTATCTTTTTTTTTTCCTTTCCTTCGGCAGAAGAAGAAATTGCATCCAGTATTCTCACAGTAAAATGAATTTGGTAAATTTAGGCTGTATGTTTAAATACTTTGGGTCTTGTTCTCATTTTCTTTACGTTTATATCTTACTAAATACATCTCCACATCTCCAAGTCTTGGCATGAGTGACTTTGCTTAAGTGATAGACAGGCTGAGGTTCCTGTATGAAAGCATCTATGACATTTTTCACTGTAACGTTTTGTGCTGACAGAATCATTCTGGCAGCTTTGTTCCTGTGAACCAACTCTTTCCAGAGACAATGAAAGAACAGACTCCAGGGTTTCAGGTTACAGAAGTAGGGAATAGCTGTATCATACAGACTCCATATGCTTCCTAGGCTGTCTGAAAAGCAGTGGCCCTTAACGTACTGTGCCTGAATGAAAAAAGCTGAAATAACCCTAAGCCTTCCTGTTGATAAAACAAACAAACAAACAAACAAAAATTCTCAGAATTAAAAAAGTAATGTCAGATCTTGTTTATTGTGCAGTGTGTGTGTGCTTTTCACATTTATTTGGTGACAACGTTAAACTTGAATAGTCAATTGTGTTAATAAAACTTTTTAAAGGCAAGGTACCACTATAAGGTCAAGTAGTTAGAAAAATGAGAAATCTTGTTTTATTTCATCCTCTGATTTCTATGAACCATATATAATAGTCAACTTTTTAACTGTACTGTAGGCTCACCTGCATTTTTATTGTCTCTGTCCTCATTCTTTTTATTTGAATATTATATTAGTCTGTGAATCATCTGTGGATAGGCCCTGTGATCAGAGACTGTGGTCTGGAAACAATGAAATAAATGATGATATTGAAACAGACTTGCACCATCTTTTTTCTGTTTTCCTAACTATTCTAATGTAGATTTTTTTTTTTCATTTGTTCTGAATTAAGCACCATTATGTGTTATTCAGTCTCAGCTAAAATATACACGTTATACCAGAAAAAAAAGGTATTTTCCAAAAATCCTTCTTTTGCTACTTAAAGTATAATTACCTGGTCAATCTTAAATCCTACATTCACCATAATGTCTTCTACAGTCCTAAATTTCAGAGAAATTACTGGGTTAATTCAGGTCACTGCCTTTATAAATTAAATCTGAGAGTAATGAGAGTAGTGAAGGAGTAAACAGGAATAACATACAGAGCAGACAGTTACAGCAACATAAAGGAATTATGGAAGGTTTGCCAGAAATACCAATCTCTTGTAGAGACAGGAAGAATTTCCATGGGGTATGTATCCTCACATGGAGAAGAATGGAATAAAGAATTCTATTTCCAGCAAAGAAGAGTGCAAGACAGAATATTAAAAAAAAAAAAACTTATCAACAAACCAATCCAAAAAAGAAACATTTAATTTTAACCCAGGATTGAACAAAGCGATAATCAAGGTTGCCAACAGCCCTGAGGTAGTGCCTACATGGTTTTAAGACCATGCCATCATATCAATCCTGCACCTGTTTTAACCCCCAACTCCCTTGTTATCCCCACACAATCTCCCTGTGCTCTGTGGAATTCATGTTTGTTTTTATGGCTAATGGGCATGAGTAAAAGCCAGCCTCTGCTTCAGTTTATGTTGGCATCTCTCCATTTCACAATGAGAATGCAAAATCATTCATAATCCTCCTATGACCTTTCTGTAGCTCACTGGGCTTTTATGGTTGAGATCTTTTGCAACTGCCACTCTGCACTGAGAGGGATTTAGAAATTTTAGCTGTTTCTGATAACTGAGGACAAAGGAATGAAGGTGGGATTTCCCTGTGGAAGTCATCATACTCAGGGTGGTTAACATTACATGAAACCAAAACAAAAATGTGGATGTTGAGTGGTATAAAATACATGAGCTGGGAGATGGGGCTAGCTTAGAAGATCTCATTCCCCTTAGCAGAAGATTGGGTTCAGTTTCTGCTTAGTTGATAGAGATCCACTCTAAACATGGCACTAGTGATATTCAGAAATCAAACACTACCAAAATGAGTCTAAAATGTCCTCAACATACAGTTAGAACATTCTTAAAATTAAATTCAATACATTACCTCACTAGTTACAAGATATTTTGTGGCTAAACATTGTCTGTACTTAGTTATACTGAGCTCAAAGTGAGATATGTACTTCGTGGTCGTTCTAGATCTCAAACAGTGTGTAATGGTGGCTGGAAATAACATTCTTCAGAGAGGGCTCTGCCTTTTTGATAACCACTGAAAAACTTTATTACTTTTTTTCTCAATTATAGACTGAAATTTAAATTTAGGAAGCGATCCCTGTTGTGTTAACACTCAATTTTTTTTTTTTCAGTGAATTCAGGCAGCTTTGAGAAAAGCTTCAGAGGGGAAATGTTGACTATTCCTTTAAATCTGAAGAAATACCAGAAACAGATGAGAGAAACAGAAAAAGAGATAAAATCTGTTGAAATTGAATGAGATAGAAATGCCATCAGCGTTTCAATGTATCAACAATGGGTTTGCTTGTAAACTGACTCTGAATGTAGGGTACAATCACATCTGGTTTTGATAATGAGCTTTAAATGATCCAGATATCAAGACTACCAGTGGCACTCCATTGTGTTTTCACCTGCCATTTGTATACACAGGCTCCTTATAGCTTCATCACCAATTAGGTGCAGACTTATGCAAAATTCTTTGCTCATGTATTCTGTCTTCTCCTTTCTAGACTAAATCTATTTGCTATATTTTCCCTAATATTGTTTCACTCTAGGTATATTTTTATCTCTTTTCTACTGTTTCTAATTCTATTCAATTGGTCTACTTTGTTTTTATAGCAGGGTAGGGAAAACTGGACTCCAGCTGAGGCCTTATGTGTACAGAATAAAGAATAATTACCGCCTTTGTGTTACTTGCCACAGCCTGTTACTTATTAATAGTATCACATTTTTCACCTGGAGTTAGTTTGTGGTCCACTTTAACCTCCCTTCCTCGACCTTTTTTTTTTGTTCTAGCATTCTGCCTATCTAGTTATTCCTGATATTCTGTTTGTGTGTTCAATTTCCTCTCCCAACTGTTGCCTTTTTCTTTCTTTTCCATTTCATCATGTTGCTTTTGGACCATTTCTCTAATTTGTCAGGACTGGTTTGAACTGCTACGTCAGCCTCAAATGTGCTTTCAGCTCTGCATGACTTACAAACGGCACGGGTAGTCTCTGTACTGCTATTCATGTTTTTAATGAAAGTAAAGAATAGAAGAGGGTGCCGCAGAAATGTGTTATCAGTTTGTGAGAGAAACATTGACAACTTCTCTTTGAGTATGTTTTTTCAATTAGTTATGCATTTATCATAAGGTCATTTGTTCAAGATAATATTTCCTTCTTTGGCTTAGGGGAATGTCATGCAAGGCAATGTCAAAATATTTTACTAAACCCAGTTGGTATATGTTACTGCTTTCACTTTATCTAGTGGATTTTTCCAAAGGAAATGAGGTAAAATAGAGTTTTTTACTCTCTCTTTGCTCTCCATTTGTTTCTTTTTTTTTTCCCATTTGTGCCATCTCTGGGGATTTTTCCTCCTTTTAAACCTCATAATTGTTGAACTGGCTCAAACAGAAGTGGTACTAAATTCAGTGAAGGAGAAAACGTGCATCATTACCCAATGTAACACTTCAAGAATGGACAAGGTGAGATTAATTCAGCTGATTTGTTGAAAAATAACATTGAATAGAGATACAAACTCTACCACCTTTAATCATAGTAATCTCTACTTCAAATACTCCTATTGACTTCAGGGAGATGGGTGTCTTGGCATATTTTGCAAAAGTCTTGATTAATCTGTAATGCAAAGAATCCTGAGTAACTAACTTCTGAATTTGCTCAGAGAATTGCAGCTGTGCAAGTGTTTAAAGGAAAAGCAGACTAAGAAAAAAGACACAGCATAGAACAAATGTTTCTTGATATTTAGGAATACTTGCTTTCGATTTTTGCATTATTGCATGTCATAATTACATTTCATCCAGTATTATCTTGTTCAGTATCAATTTGCCTATTGCATGAAAATTGTCTCATTTCCATGTCATTCTCCCAGTCCAAGAGCAAAAGACAAGGTGACATTCAGTGAGATGGAGAGTGTCAAACGTCCATCTGATGCAGAAGAAATGCTCTCTCTGGAATGCCAGATGATTCTGTGGAAGCTGCTGCCAGAGAAGATCACGGTGACCAAACCTTTGTAGGTGATCTGACACACAGATGAGTAACTAGGAGACAAACTTACAACAAATGATGATAGCAGTTTTGAAAAAACTAATTTAATGTTTTAAGAGTTTGAAAAATGTCTAGTTTGAGTACTTATGAAAGGGTAGACTAATGCTCACTACGGAGTTTTCAAACTGTAGCTCTGGTTTAGAGGGACTTTGCATCTGAGCTGGTATGACAATTCTGCTTCAAAGTACCCATGTTAAGCACTATGAAGAAAATTATTAAGAAGCCCATAAATGTTTTACTTTGTTTCCAGTGTAAAAAAATAGTAGTATATAATCAAAATGGTTTGCATGACTTAGGATAAGCAAGTCACCTGAGCCTCAGCCTCTGGATCCTGATTTTGTTATTTCATTGCAAATAGCAATGGTAGCTACTGGCTCTGTGCTGGACGGCGATGAGTGCAGGTGCAGCTCCAGCACCCCTGCCCAGCTGAATAAGGCAGCAGCTGCACAGGCTATTGGAGCAGCTGCATATGATTCCTGAACAGGAATCCTACTCCCTGTTATCTTGGAAAGAAATTGTCAAGCAGTTCAAAACTGACCAGCAGTTCATTGGCTAAACTGAAGATAATATGGGATGATTAGCTTTACCCAACCTCAGAAATTTGCAAGAAAAAAAAAAACAAGCAAACAGTTCAGTAAATCAAGGTGTGACTTCTCTGAGGTTACACTGATATAACTAATATCAGATTATGGCTTGTTCTTTATCGATAAAGGAACTTTATAAAATTTTAATATTTTAAACCTAATTAAGCATATTTTGATAATATTAAAGATTATCAACATTTCAGAAGTTGTAGAAAAGACCGAAGTAGCTGCAGAAATATCGTTCCACTTTTTTACTGGATATATTTTAAAACAGATTCTAAAAAAAAAGACTTTTACATCTTTGTCCTCTATGAATAAACCTTATTTTCTACATAGCAATAACAGAAATTAACTCAAGGGAAATTACATACGTCAAGAAGGTAAAGTTCCCCTCCGCTTTCAAAGGGTTGGCATTAGTGTAAATTATTGCTTTCAGGTGTTAAGTAACTTCTTTGATGGTTTTTTTTATTGACTGACTCACATTTCTCAGGAAGATAAAAAGCTACTGTAATAGAGCATTTATTTAATTAAAAAGAGCTAAGGTTTTTTCACAGTAAAGAAATGGGTGTGGATGGGTGATTTTTGTTGAATGCACTTGAGCCAAGACTGAAAATGTTTTACCAGGTATTGTATTACCTTTCATTTCCACAATGCTACTTGTATCACGTGCTTGAATGTAAGTTTTGTTGAATAGAGTATTTCAATGATTTTTCTTTTTTCTTTTGGTTAACACAAATAATGTTATTTAGAAATTGTGTAGGCACTTTCTTATGATTTTGAGTCCTTCATGCAACATAGTCCTTCAGACTTACTGGTTTGAGTCATGTCCTAGATACTTTGTTTTCTGCAAGTTCAACAGCAATGAAACTTCAGTCAAATGAAATACAAAAGAGTAAATTCCAAGAAGATTCATGCTGTATTCTCAAATTGACTATCAAAAAGGCCAATTTAAACAATTTCCTTTTCCTCTAGGTCCAAAATTTGGTAAGACATATGAAAATTTGAAAGGCAAAAGTGCATTTTTTGCTGGTTTAAATACCAGGAATTTCCCACTGAATTAATTGCTTTCCTTTGTAGTGAAGTAGAAATAGATAAGAATATAACGATGAATTTCACACCTCCAGAATATATTTGCAACAATGTCTGTGATTCTCAGCAAAACACTCTGCGATGGAAAACTCTAACAAATTTGTGTTTTTCTCTTCCCCACAAAAAAGGAACATATAAAATCCTGCTGCTGGTTTGCACTGCAATAAAGTGCCCAGACACATAGCTTTATCAACTGCTAGTATGCCTTTAACAAATCACAATTAAATATTAACAGCCTGTGGAGCAGCATGGAGGACTCTGCAATCCTTTGAAGGCATATTTGCCAATTAAACAAAGTCAACATTGGAGTAAAGGTGGCAAGGATCCAAACCAGAGAAATGAAAGTCAACCACTTTAGTGGCATTCATTAGCTCAACAGACATTCTTTGTGTGGCCTGTTTCTTTACTACTGCCAAATCCACACCCTGTTCAGGAACTTAGGGAGGCTCAGATAAGCTTATTATGGAAATGTCACTTTGTCACCCTTTACAACTTGCTTCTTGTTAAATTATCTTTTATCTTCTTTGTAGTATTTGTCACCTTTCCTTGGGTGCCTCTTGTGTGGCCAAATGGTGCTGTGTTTGATTTGGAATAACCAAGGTTAATTGACGTTAATAGGGTAATATTTTAAAGATTATCTCTTCAGTATCATCACATAAGACTGATTATGGATAGACATTTGTGCAGACACACCATGTTGTTCTGTTTGGCAGTGTGTGAATGTTTAGATGCTTGTTTGCATCATCTAGTAATAGGTACTGTTAGGGCTGAGAAGGAACATCTGGCTGGGAATTCTCTACCCTATACCTGGCCTTCCCAAATTTTGTTGTAACTGCAAACCCCGTGCTTAAACAGCAGAAATGGTCAATGTTGCCTCTGCATACTGAGAACATGAGGTAAAAAAGAAGCATTTTCACTACTCCTTTTTCTGCTAACTGAGAGAAAAGAAAGAAAACCCTGGTGCTGGATGCTGAGTGCCCTGGAGTAATGCACCAGCATGGAGTGTGCATCATCCTTGAAACCTGCAGACCGCACACAAGCTTCCATCCCATTTCCTTCATTCTGCAGCTTCAAAGCCACCTCACTAAATGGCTCTGCTTCATAGTCTTGGTCTAGCTTCTACCTGGACCTTCAAAAATATCTGCACAAAGAAAGTAATTTCTGCTTTTGTGTCTCAAAGGCATAAAAATTTAGCAAGAAAGAGTAGAACTCAGTCTCCACAGAAACAGTTCAAAGTGGTAAAGGTAAAATTAAATATTACCATGAGGTCAAGACAAAGCTTGGGCTGTCATGGCAGGGAGTAGGAAGAGGGATAGAGAAAGAAAGAACTGGGCATGTTGCTCCTAGCAGAAGGTACAGAAACAACCCATATAAAAACTTTCTCTTGATGTGGTCCTACTTCTGTGGCAATAGCTAGCTTTACACAGACATGGACCACAGCTTTAGCGCAGACTCCAGGAGACCTGACTTGTGTCTATGTGTGAAAAAACCATCACCATGGCTGGTATCCTGCAACCATATGCATATTTTGCCTATGCATATCCCTGCCTGTTGAGATCTACATTTCAATACAGAGCTGTCCAACCTTGCTGTACTATACACACATCTTTGATGACATTCTCAGTTTTGAAGCACCCTTTTTTTTTTATTCTGTGCTGAAATGCTGTTTCATTTCACTCATCCTCCCTCACAGACACAGGGAAACAAGATATCCATCAGTAAGTAACTACAAAAGAATAGAATAAAAAAGAAGTGAAGAGAGAAAAGTGAATTCTTGGACAGATATTTAAATGGTCATCATATTTTGAATGGTTCTTTGTCATATTTAAGCTGATGCCCTAGTCTGTGTTATTGTAATATGTATCTGTTGGCTCCCAAGATTTATAGTGACATAAAACCTTACTGGCTCAGAAATTTAGAGGTTTGGTTTGGATTTTTTTCTATATTCTATATTTATTCATGTATATATATCATGCATAATTCACTGTAGTCACAAATTGCATTTTCCATAAACACATGCAAATGTAGCTATAACTGAAGCAAGAAAGAACAAGAATATCTCTGAGTTTTATTGGTCTGCTTATGTCTCATAGGCAACACTGAAATATTGTCTCATTCAACAATATCACTGCTCATATCTCACATACACACTTTCTTTTTCACTGTTTTGAAAAAAGGTCCTACTTAACATTCCAAACACATGAAAATTCTTCACCTGAAGTCACAGGAATTTTCTCCTGTTTCAGAAAGATACAAGAGAAAAGGAATTAAAAAAATAAGCTTTCTTTGTGAGCATCAGGAAGAAAACATCCTTTTTGACTTGCTCCAGTAAGGGAGGCTTCTTCCCAAGTTGGCAAAACAGCTCCTCATCAGGTATCTATCTGTCTCGAAGTTGCTGTCTAGGTTTATGATAGCGAGGGGTTTTGCTTCTAACCTGCTGATTCTGACATCACCCTTACTGCTGATTTAATGAGCCCAGTGTCATAAATAGGATTACAGACCCCAGAGGTCTAATTCTGAGCTCCTGAATACACTGAAGAGCAACAGTAGCTATGGCAAATAATTACCTCAAATCAAATCAAAATTAAAGCTTTAAGATTTGAATGCTGGAAATGTTTGTTCAGTGATCCGTACAGTGGAAGTAACTTGTCTTTATCTAGCTCCCAATGGAACAAGATGGCACCCAAAGACTAAAACACCACCACAAATAGTGCCTTTGTGAATACAGTATAGAAAGAAACACTGAAATCAGCTGGAATAAGCAGAAAGCAGTGTTTTTGCAGTGGGAGCATGGGCAAGCTGTGACTGTTCTGTTCCCTCAACAGCTTTTTTCCTATCTTTTGGATTTGGGTAAAATCAGGATTTGATTCTCAAAGTACAGATATACCATGCAGTTCTGATATAATGTGATGGGAATTAAATAAATGCTTTGGGAAGCTAATCTTTATCAGGAGAATTAAGGCTTTTTCCATGCTTGCTTTATGACTCTAATATTCAGATGATACCTGATTACCAGGATGTCCACATGGGGCACTTGCTCACCTGAATAAATATAATAATGAATGTTCTGCTTTTGTGTCACTATTCGCATGTGGATTTTAATTGTGGTTTGTACAGGAGGGTGTTTTATGGAAGTTGAGAGCCAGTGAAGTAATTTTCTCATAACCAAAGGAAGTTAGTAGAAGAACAAAGGATGGGACTCAGGCCTTCTGTCTCTTATCCGGTATCTTCAATCACATTGTCTCTTACAATCATCAACGAGTTTTCAGCTGTTGTAAATTAGGCTGACATTAGTGAATACAATCTGCTTTAGGATACATACATGCAAATTTTTCAGGGTGTTTTCTACCATTCATCAGCAATGCTAAGTAAATGACATTTCTGCATGTGATTAGCTCTATATATCCCCAGATTCTAATGTGCATATGTAAAATAGATGCAGCTATATATTTTAGCACGCACAAGCATGCAGTCATGAGCACATAAAAACAC